GCCACCGGGCAGTTCGCCACCAGGCAGTTCACCCCTAGGCAGTTCGCCACTGGGCAGTTCGCCACCAGGCAGTTCGCCACCATGGTGCATTGCCGGGCAGTTCGCCACCAGGCAGTTCACCACCAGGGTGCACTGCCGGGCAGTTCGCCACCAGGTAGTTCACCCCCAAGCAGTTCGCCACCAGGCAGTTCGCCCCTAGGCAGTTCGCTACCAGGTAGTTCGCCACCAAGCAGTTCGCCACCAGGGAGTACTACCAGGCAGTTCGCCACCAGGGAGCATCACCAGGCAGTTCGTCACCAAGTAGTTCTCCCCCAGGGAGTTCGCCACCAAGTAGCTCATCACCAAGGCACGTCACCACCAGGTCAAACACAAGGTACTTAGCCAAAAAATTTATATATCACAAAAAATGGTACGTGACCAAAAACGGTTACATGACGTCCTATAGACAATTATTGGCTTTCGAACTCCTCTCCCCTGAATTGAAGAAGCAAGGAAGAAAGGAGAGAAACGGAGCAGCAGATATAACATTGAGAGAGTTAGTATTGTCTTTGTTAGATATAACATTGAGAGAGTTAGTATTGTCTTTGTTAGATCTGCATTTGGCAAGTCTATTTTTTAATGATTTTTTCAAAAGTTAGAAAGACCAAAAACCGTTTGACAAACACGCTTGTGCTGTGCTGGGATTCGGTTACACAAATAGTACTTGCAGGTCCCACTTTATATTTACTTTTGCACAATATTAAAATAGGCCCTATTCATATATTTCCCTATGCACATCATTCAAACACACTTGTGAAAGCCTTTACTTGTTAAAATAGAATCAAATACTTCTGGGTTTATATTAGATTAGATGGAATTTAAACTACAAACAAAATTACCAGGACTAAGGATGTAAGGATATATAATGCAACAGCACTATGACAGGGCTCTGTGTCTCAACTCTCAAATAAAAATTTTCAAATACAACAGTTATAAAGAGAGAGAGAGAGATTTCTGATTTTTTGGGCCTGATGGACATTGTAATCAAGTCTGCCAAAAAAAAGAAGCACCACCCATTTGGCCATGTCTATTGAACTCAACAATCCATTCATTTCTATCCCAAATAATATAATTCTCTCGAGAGAATAATTAAAGAAAGAAATCAAGAGCTGCGGACCAAGACATTTTGCATCATAGCCTTGAACTCGTAAAAGTCAACACGTCCATCATGATTTCGATCAACAGAAGAGATCATCTGCTCAACTCTACTGATCTCCCTTCCCTCTGGCAATCCCAACTTCCCCAGCACCACCTGCAACTCCCTCGCTGATATAAACCCATCTCCGTCCTCGTCAAACACCTTAAATGCCTCTGTCAAGTCCGACTCCTCCTGTGACAAATGATCTGCGACACACACCCTTTGGTCCTCTGCTTGGTCCACCCAGTGATACGTTTCCCCCAATGACTGGTGCAACGCTTCGAAGTCATCATATTCCAACCCTGTATTGCCTAGCTTTATGAAGCCATGCACGATGGAGTCTAACTCAGAGGGGTTAGTGTCCAGGCCGAGAAGGTCAAGAGCTTGGCAGAGCTCATGGACAGTGATTGTGCCGTCACTGTTCTTGTCAAATATATCGAATATGCATCGGAGGCAAAGGCTGTTGAGGCTTGGGCATTGAAGACCGAAGGACAACGAGAAGGGATTTACTGGAATCAATGATGGACAGCGACGAGAAACATCTCTAAAAGACAGTGAGAAACTGCCGAAAACCCGAGTGAAAATGTGGTGAATATCAGCTGTGATGGCCGGAGAACAGGGGTGAAAAATCTTTAGAAAAGCGACATCGACGAGAAGAAAGGAGGGGAAGAAGCTGAGAGTTCGAACTCGATGCTTCTCAGTTTAATTGCTGGGGCAGAGAATTTGAACTCTGAGTCGAATTTTTGTCAAAATGTCGGAAAGCTGAGAAACCCGAATTGACAAGCTTGGCTCGAAGCTTCTCAGATCTAGACCATTTTGGTATTTTTTGGAATTTTTTTGGCATCTGTCTTTTTGGTCTATTAGGCTTTTAATAGTCAAATAAAAAAAAAAAATCATTTTTAGTCTATAGGTTTCTAAAAAGCCCAAACGATCTTTTAAGAACACTTGTTATACAAGGCCGAGAAGACAGTATAGAGGAATAAGGCCCAATCGCCTAGAAGAAAAGGTGATTGAGTATGGATCAGGTGAAGGCTTTAGAGAAAAAGACTAATGTAATTTTTCGGATCAGTTCCCGAAACCACGATGAAGCAGACCTCCTTTGAGAGTTGGATCTGTTAGCAAAGTTGGCTCCCGCTGATCAGTGTTAATGGAGACGGTCGAGAGGAAAGGGATAAGGGTAATATTAGGTTTTAAAAATTTTTAAACATCACGTGGTGTCATGTGTGTACGGATTTTGATGAAATATTAACGGATATTAATGATAAACGTAGAGCTAGACAATTGTCAAAAACAGTAAAACAGTGAGATAGCGTGAGTTGATTTTCAAACAGAAAGGGTGCATTTAATCACTTAAACCAGAAGGATAGTTTAAGAAATTTACCCATTATTTTTTTACTAGTGTAAATTGTTGAAACCTCTTTGAAGTTTCATGTTACTAAAATCTCCCCTTACAATAACCTCCCTTATCAGTTTTTTAACTACTCCTACTATTTAGTCTAAGTATACCCTTACTTATCACAGTTTTTTAACTACTCCTATTATTTAGCTCAATTAAGGGGCCGTTTGGCAAGTTTTTTTAGGAAGATCGTTTAGTAGCTCTGACAGTCAAAAGATGTATTGAGTTTTTTGCATGAAGATTTGAGCAACCCGAAACTAGTTTGGCTACCACATGTCTTCCTATGCGTCTTTCCATGTCTTTTCGCACGAGAATAAAGCGAGAAATATGCGAAAAGCTCCATTTGGAGCTTTTCAAATTCAGTCCAAAATAGGTTTCTTGTGTCTTGTTTTTAGGAAGATCTTTTAGAAGTTCTAATAGTCAAAAGATGCATTTGAGTTTTTTGCATGAATATTTGAGCAACCCGAAACTAGTTTGGCTACCGTGCGTCTTCCTATGCGTCTTTTCGTGTCTTTTCGCATGAGAATAAAGCGAGAAATATGCGAAAAGCTCCATTTGGAGCTTTTCGAATTCAGTCCAAATTAGGTTTCTTGTGTCTTTTTGGTGCACCGACTTTTGGTAGCTAGATCCGCTACAAACCAAACAAAAAAAAAGATTGCAATGTGGTCTGCCTGGCTTGTAAACAACCGAAAGACGACGCGAAAAGACACGCCAAACGGGCCTAAGTATACCCTTAGGCTGTGTTTGGAAACGATACAAATGGAGTGTAAATCCCGGTTCTAGGTAAATTTGCACTCTAGTTCAAGCGAGAAATATGCAAAAAGATCCATTTGGAGCTTTTCGAATTCAACTCAAAATGGGTTCCTCGTGTCTTTTCGATGCACCGACTTTTGGCGGCTAGATCCGCTACGAACCAAACAAGAAAGACCACAATGTGGTCTGCCTGGGCTGTAAACAACCAAAAGACAACATGGAAAGACATGCCAAATGAGGCCTAAGTATACCCTTAGGCTGCATTTGGAAATGATGCAAATGGAGTGTAAATCCCGATTCTAGGTAAATTTGCACTCTGGTTCACTTTTGCCTATGTTTGGCAACATTACATTTATGCATTGACAAATGCATATTTACATTGATAATAAGATATAAAAGTACATCAATTAAAAAGAAGTAAATTTGCATTCAAGTGGGCTTTTGAT